TCTCCCCTTTATTTATTCTATCGGTTAGTGTTAGCAGGTACTAGACTTGCTTATGTGCTCCCTTTGACTCTTAGTCCTTTCTATAATGAACTTCTTATAAGACTTAAATGGACAATCATGCAAATCATCTAGCAGAATATATCAACAAATAAAACTTCAATAGCCACCAGTTCCCTTGCAAGTTAAACCTTGAAACAACTCTAAACTGTCTTTGCATGAACACCAATTTGAGAATATGAGAGATGAAATAGATAAATATTCAAACAACTCCATTTGTTTCTTTTTACAAATTGTGACATGAGCTATATCCAGAATTTCTTCTTGAATTTATTTCATAGAAAATCATGTGAACCAAATATTCCTAATTCATGTTATTAAACCATTTGCACAGGCATGTTGTCAGTCCTAAAACATGTTCATGAATCAATTTACTGTCCTGGTATGACTTTGTAGCTGTTAAATGGATCTAAACAGAATTCTGTGACTATTATGCGTGGTTTCTTCAGGAATTCAAGTTGGCTTTCTATTTTAAGCTATTTTCTCAATGTTTTTATGAATCTTTGTTTAATGAGTAAATATTTTTCAGAAATGTTTGATGTTTTCCTTTCAGAAAAATCTTAGAACAGGGGGATTTATAGGCTGTCATTATTTTGTTTTAATTCTCCATAACTTGGAGATATAAATTATCTTTCTGCACTTCACAGAGATACACTGCAGGCCATATCGAAGGAAATGCCTCAATCAGGTGCGTCTCCAACTGTGCGGCAGCCACATTCAGGGAGCAGCTGTAGGCGATCATGGAAGAGCGAATTAGCAAGACTGAGAAACCAGAGACTGCAGTCCGGACAGTTAGGGGCCACGCCCTAGGGATCCATGTGGCCAGGGTCTGGGGGTGACTTGTTCCCTCAAAATCCCACATGCACGCTTGATTCCCGGCCCAGCAGCGTTGGGAGATGCAGCTTCGTGGGAAGTGGGGTTCCAGGCTCCTGGCTTCAGCCCGGCTCAACCCCCACCATTGTGGCCATCTAGGTAGTGACCCAGCAGATGGAAGATCTCACCCTCTCTTTGTCTTTCTCTCTCTCTCTCTCAGCAACTTTGCCTTTCAAATAAACAAATACAACTGAAAAAAAAGTCAATTAGCCTGAGGCCAGCAGGGGCTTCATCGAATCTACCAACCAAAGGTTATGTCCAGATGTAGTAGAAGTCAAGATCAATTCCACGGTCTTGGAGTCACACTGACCTGAATCTGCATCTCACCCCATCCCTGCAACCTGCTTACAGTGTGAACACAGGCAAATTTCAACCACTAAAATTGTTAACTCCCTCATCTATAAACCAGTTTGATCCTGCCTGGGTATTTTAAGGATTAAATCAAGTAAAAGGTGTAAGGAAAAGTCTCTTGTATAGGAGGTAGTATTGTATTTTAAAATTAATCAGGAGGCTAGTACTGTGGCGTAGCAGGTAAAGCTGCCACCTGCAGTGCCGGCGTCCCATATGGGTGCTGGTTCGAGTCCCAGATGCTCAACTTCCAATCCAGCTCTCTGCTACGACCTGGAAAAGCAATAGAAAATGGCCCAAATCCTTGGGCCCCTGCACCTGCATGGGAAACCTGAAAGAAGTTCCTGGCTCCTGGCTTTGGATCAGCATAGCTCCAGTTGTTGCGGCCAACTGGGGCATAAACCAATGGATAGAGGACCTCTCTCTCTCTCTCTTTCTCTCCCTTCCTCCCTTCCTCCCCACCTCTCTCTGTCTCTCTCCCTCCCTCCCTCCTTCCCTCCCTCTGCCTCTGCCTCTGCCTCTCTGTAACTCTGCCTTTCAAATAAATAAAGAAGATATTTTTAAAAATCAATCAGGAATATTTATAAATCTCTCAATAATGCACATAACAAAATCATTATAATTATCTGGTGAATTAGCAGAACACAGAAAAAATGACTAAAAATTAAAAATGAGAACTTTTCTTAGTAGAAGGTAGAGTCAAAAGATTTAGGGGCAGGCATTTGGTTGACCTCCTGGTTAAGACACAGGTTGGCATATCCGCACCCCATATCAGAATGCTTAGGTCCAATAAGAGCTCTGCTCGTGATTCTAGCTTCCGGCTAATGTTCTCCCAGGAACGGCTCAAGTAGCTGGGTTCCCATGTAGGGACTCAGACTGAGTTTCTAGCTCCCAGCTTCAGTCCCAGCCCAACCCTGGTCATTGTAGGCAGTTGGATGGGATCCAATGGATAGAATCTCTATTTATTTCTCTCTCACTCTCCCCACCCCCACCTTGTTTATCTCTCTCAAATATTTTATAAAAGACATTGAGTTAAACACTGGATTTGCAAATGAAAGATACTGCGATTTAAGCGATGTGCTTTAGGAAGAGATTTGAGAAGTCTCCAAACCAAGTGTTCAATCCATCTCTAGAAGTCTAAGAACCAGCCTGTGCACAATGGAGAAGAACAGAGTGGGAGAAACGCCTGGCTGTGCACTGCCTCTGTGAAGGGGCATGGCCAAGGCCCTCTGACTGCTCCTGGAGAAGGTTTACAGCCTCAGGCTCACGGACTCCACTGCCTTTAATTTATACTACTAGTGGTCAGAGCAGGTAAACAGAGCCCGGAGTTCTTCACTGGGAAACAGTCAGAGCCAAGTGTTGGCACTGCCACTTCAGAGATACAAGCTTGGGCAATTGAACTTTGCTCACCTCCAGTTCCCTTATTAGAACAGGAACGATGGAGCCAGCCTCAGGGGATTATCCAGGATCACTGTAGTTACTGTTGGTTAGAGCACTTAGCATTTGTTGAATGTGCTGGCCCAGGTAGGCAGCTGGTACTTCCCAGGTATCTATCATTAAAGGCATCATGCGAGTAACCATCTGCCTGTGCCGCTCCCGCCACCTTGGTTAGTTTAACTCTTGGTTTGTAGGCCCCTGCAGAGGACAAATTCATGACCTTCCAGGGTCAGGTGAACATAAAAGATGTGCCACCTTCTCTAACAGGGATCTCTTTTGTCCTGTCTTGATGGCTTTCTCAAGGGTCACTGAACCATAGAAAGTTGTACAAAACTCCATTCCACAAATCCCAATACCTTCTATCTGGAAACACAGATCAAAACAGAAAATATTTTATAAGAACAATGAAGCTTTCATTTCCTTAATTCTTATAGTCAATTGTTAATGAAATAGGTTGCAATGATTTCCACTTAATATAGATGGATAAAAGCACCAGAGACCATTAAAATTAACCTGTTATAAAGTCATTAGTCCTCACTGAATCTAAGCTCACTGCCTTTTTGTGATATAAGCTTAATAACAGTAGGGGGCACATTTAACAAAAGTCAACACTGGACTCCCAGTTCCTGGACTAGCCTGGCACACAAAGTATCTGCACAGTGCACCAATGAGTTACTGAATCGGCCAATCAGTAAACAACCTGCATACTTTAGCTCTAAAGTTATTTGTCTGATGTGATTTGCTTTTCTATCAAATCACATATAAGAAAAGGGGGAAGGTTAGGGACTTTTGTCAGATAGAGGATTTTAGCTTCAGGCTCAGTCAATACACCACAATGTGCCTTCCTTATACATGTACTGTTTTTCTCCCATCCTTTCTGCTTCACCTACCTTAATCCAAGCTCTCATGACCTCAGCTAGCCCTCACCAGGCAGTCTCCCTGCCTTCTGCCATCATAATCTCTCTCTCTCACCCCTCCCTCCTTCCCTTTCAAATAAATCTTTAAAAAAAATCAGTCATCTTTAAACCTTCAGGTCCATCACTGTGTGTGACCCACAGATATGCTTGTACATGTAATCAAAACTAGCCTGGTTGTGACGTGGAATGGCCTGGAAAAGGAAGTCCTACTAGAAACCTTCCTACATTGAGCCCATTCCTCCCATTGCTTTGCTGACTGATGGTGAAAACCTTTATTTTTGCCTCCACAGGACCTGATTGGCATGCTGAAGGAGCAGCTTTCTGATCACTTCAAGGACGTCATGGTTGGCCTCATGTACCCGCCACCATCCTATGATGCACACGAACTCTGGCACGCCATGAAGGTAGCAATCTAGCCCAGAAACATACCTGTGGCAGGTGCAGGCTGGCATTTCCGGCATTTCTGTTGACGGGTGGACTGCCCCAGGATGCTCCGACATACTTGTATGACCCTGCAGGGAGGGAGGAGGGACTACATGAGCAGTGATGTGACCGTGGAAATGCTGCAGCCAAGGGAAGGAACTGGGCAGGAAGACGGGGCCTCCAGAGCCCATGGCTGGGGTCAGCCTGCTCTGTGGTTAGACAAACCCAGACTAACAAGTCAGCTGCAAGATGAGCTACCAAAAGGCACGCCAGAGATGAGCCCAGGGCCATTCATGTTTGCCTCTCCTCAATGTGTATTTGTATATTGAAGGGGATGCATTAAACTCATGTGAACCTTTTAAAATTATCTCTAAAGACCTGGTTCATTAAGCCAGAATGGGATGGAGAGCTAGAGTCAAAATACACTTGATCTTAGCCAAAAGGCCAAGAAGCGATAGAGTCAAAATACAGAAGTGATCTAGCTTTATTTTTGTGACCTTAGGTTGGTCCTTTATAAAAACAATTGCTCAAATATATCAGAAGTTTACTTTGCAAGGATTGGAATAATAATTCTTTCTTCCAAAAAGTCATTTCAGTAAACCAAATCAACTACAAGCTTGTTACAGATTTTGTTGCCCAGAGACAGAGACAAGAGTGAATTTAACTTCTTTCCAGAGACTGACATTAAGTACCTGTTCCAGGAGGATGCTTGCCAGTGGCCAGATTACCACAATCTGTGAACCACGTGTGACAGGAAGAAGAAAGAAAAACAATGACAGAAATGTGGATTTGGGTCATCATATGTACAGATCAGAATAGACAGTGTATAAAATTCACTATTTATTTAGACTACTCAACTTTTCTTAAATGTTGCATACAGTTCCTAGCTTCTTGCAAAGTTCTGTGATTAAAAATGTAAGAATAAAGTCATATGTTGCTGTATAAATGGATATTTTTATCAAAATTTCACAGAACAATAAGGCTTTCTGTGGCTTCCCTGAAAAAGTCACACTGCCCCTGAAAATCACTATCATAGACAAATACAAGTGCACCTGTCTAAATAGGGAGCACAGGAAGTGCTCAGTCCAAATGTTTAGGCAAATTGTACAAAATTCCACATTTAGGGAGATGAAGAGCCCTAATTTCCTTTGGGAAATTAAAAGATCTGTGCTTTTTTTTTTTAACTTGAAGCTTTATTTATTTGAAGGGCAGATTACAGAGAAAGAAAGAGAGGAGAGAGTGAGAGAGACAAAGAGAGATATTCCATCTGCTAGTTCATTTTTCAAATGGCTCCAACAGCCAGGGTTGGGCCAAGCCAAAGTCAGTAGCCTGGAACTCCATCTGGGCCTCTGGGGCCCAAGCCCTTAAGCCATATTCTGCTGCCTTCCCAGATGCATGAGTAGTTACTGGATTGGAATAGCCAGGACTTGAATGGTGCCCATAGTGGATGCTGGTGTCACAGGCAGCGGTTTAACCTGCTGCATGGCGACACTGGCTCCAGAAAATCTATGTTTGTACTTCAGCTTGCTATGGAATGGATGTTCCAGTAGCAAATGGAAATGCTAGAGGCATGCCCATGCTTTTATTATAAATGAATAAACTGGGTTTCCTTTGGATAATAGCATCTTCTCAGGGTGAAGCGGCTACCCAGTGTCAGAGCCGGAACTGAAGCTGGGTCTGTCTTTATCCCAAACACATGTCCTTGCCTCCTGCCACCCCTCACACCACCAGGAATGCTGTGTCCCCCTGTACAGTACATAAGGCACACTGCTATTCCCAACAAAAGTGCCTATGGATCTCTCTCCTTTCTCATTCTAGGGAGCAGGCACCGATGAGAACTGCCTCATTGACATATTAGCTTCGAGAACCAATGGAGAAATTTTCCAGATGCGGGAAGCCTACAGTTTGCGTAAGGAAATGCGTCTGTGTCCATGTGTTGTACACATACGTGAACTTCATATTTCTCAGTAGATGAAACACTTCAGCCTATGAATTCTACAGAACTCTCTAAGATACTTTTACATGTGAAATATCACTCACTCAAGATTCTAACTCATCAAGTGCAATGGATGACTGCTGTGCTAAAAATAAAACCATTCCCTAGACAATCCAGCTCAGCACATCCTCCCTGAAGAGCTACCAGCTGCTGTGAGATGAATGTTTTCATCCCGACAGAAAAGTCCCAGCAGGTCAGAGGGCAGTTGTCTCTGACAGCAGAGACCTGCTCAACAGGCAAAACACAGCGAAGTGCAGTGGTTGTCGAACTGTCCAGAATTCCACATCTGGGGAGACATTTTTGAGTTCTGCAAATATATTTGCTATGCTTTATGCACATTTCTTAATTCCTGTAATCTATCCCAAAATCAGATTTTTGTACCTTTCAAAAGTAGAAGGAGTAGCTAGTTTTGTTTTCGAAAGGGTTTAATTTCTTAAGCTCCCACGTATTATGTAGTATGTAACATTGAATGTCAAGAAAATGTCCCAGTCACCTCCAATGCATTTGAATGACAAGACTTTCCTCAGGGCAATGATATAAAAATCTTTACTGGAAATAGTAAAATGAGTCATGGCAGCACTTAGGAAAAGTACTAGAGTGGGCAGCAGTCTATAGAAATGGAATGTGTAATTCTACATTTTGAGAATAAGAGAATGAAGTGACTCTCAATGCTGTTTCTCACTTTAGGAATAAAGATTTTTTTTTTAAGATTTATTTTATTTATTTGAAAGACAGAGTTAGAGTGAGAGAGAGAGGTCTTCCATCCACTGGTTCACTTCCTAAATGGCCTCAATTGCCAGGGCTGGGCCAGGCCGAAGCCAGGAGCCAGGAGCTTCTTCCAGGTCTCCCACATGGGTGCAGGGGCCCGAGTACTTGGGCCATCTTCTGCTGCTTTGCCAGGCACATTAGCAGGGAGCTGGATTGGAACTGAAGCAGCCAGGACTCGAACCGGAACCCATACGGGATGCCGGCACTGCAGGCAGAAGCTTAACCTACTACAGCAAAGCACCGCCCCCATAAAGATAATTTTTTAAGACAAGAAGCCTATAGCTTTGTAGTCATTGGGTGACTGATTTTAGTGGTGGGCAGTTTATTGACAGAGAAATGTTGGCAGGTTGATTGTCTTTCTAGGACTTTCAATCACAGCTTGGGCAGTAGCAGGAAGTAGCTCAGAGCAGACTGATGTGTGGTGCTATAGACAGGTGTACTGTAATGTGGCTCTTTTCTTGTCAGAATACAACAACAACCTCCAAGAGGACATTCAGTCAGAGACCTCGGGACACTTCAGAGACACCCTCATGAACCTGGTCCAGGTATGGCATTGCACAATTCACACCACTCTGCCCTGTGACAGACATGTGCTATTTCCAAAAACCAGGTCAGAGAGCCGTGGTACACTAGAAGTCAACAGTTAATACTATGCAATAGCCCTTCCTGAGTATCAGCTGTGTTCAGGGCACTCAGAAACTTGACTTGGTAGAGAGACAAGCACAAATAATTAAAATTCATCATACTTACAAGGAATACACACACACACACATCTGATACATTCTAAGAAAATAGAAAAGATTAGAAATATTACAGTGAAAATTCATAATTCTATTAGAAATTAATTTCATTTTTAAGACTGCTAAATGAATGGAGGGCTTATAAACTTTTCCGAGCCTCAGACACATAGTAAATGAGAAACCTATTTGATTCATCACATCAAAGCATTACAACATGGATATTCCCATAAGCACATTAGAAATGATGAAACAGAATCAAAAAGTATAAGCTTCTTTTTTTTTTTTTTTTTTTTTTTTAAATTTTTTTTTTTTTTTTTTTTTTTTGACAGGCAGAGTGGACAGTGAGAGAGAGAGACAGAGAGAGAAAGGTCTTCCTTTGCCGTTGGTTCACCCTCCAATGGCCGCCGCTGCAGCCGGCGCACCGCGCTGATCCTGGCAGGAGCCAGGAGCCAGGTGCTTTTCCTGGTCTCCCATGGGGTGCAGGGCCCAAGCACCTGGGCCATCCTCCACTGCACTCCCTGGCCATAGCAGAGAGCTGGCCTGGAAGAGGGGCAACCGGGACAGAATCCGGCGCCCCAACCGGGACTAGAACCCGGTGTGCCGGCGCCGCAAGGTGGAGGATTAGCCTATTGAGCCACGGCGCCGGCTTAAGCTTCTATCCATTGATGGTCTACGGAGTTAATAGATGGACATCTATTGTTTAATTGAATCCAACAGACCCCATGTGACTGTGTAGCACGCCCAGAGCTACCTACAAAAAAATCCTATCATGAAAGCAAGATGACTTCAACTTTAAGTTAGATTTTGTCATTTACTTTATTTTTCTATATCAAGTAAATTGTATGTAATTGCTTCCATTCAGATATTTCTTTTTTTTTTCTTTCTTTCTTTTTTTGACAGGCAGAGTTAGACAGACAGAGAGAGAGAGGGAGAGAGAGAAAGGTCTTCCTTTTTCCGTTGGTTCACCCCACAAGTGGCCACTACGGCTGGCATGCTGCGGCTGGCACACTGTGCCAATCCAAAGCCAGGAGCCAGGTGCTTCCTCCTGGTCTCCCATGCGGGTGCAGGGCCCAAGGACCTTGGCCATCCTCCACTGCACTCCCAGGCCATAGCAGAGAGATGGACTGGAAGAGGAGCAACTGGGACAGAATCTGGCACCCCAACCGAGACTAGAACCTGGGGTGCCGGCACTGCAGGTGGAGGATTAGCCTAGTGAGCCGCGGCGCTGGCCCTCATATAATATTTCTTAAGACGTTCATCTTACTAGCTTTATAGTCAGAATACTATTTTAAAGATACAATTATCATTTGTTTTATGTAGTTTCTCGAATGTGCTTGTCGCCTGATTTAGCAAACACATGAAGCCCACAGTTGGGAAAAAAAAAATGTCTTTCAAGCCAGGATTTAGGTTTTTTGTTTTGTGTGTAAGGGTGTGTGTATGTATGCACATGTGTATACTTGAAATGACACAAAGGTATATAAATATCCAAACCTTTCCTTTCTATATCAAAAACATGACTGAGTAGTTAGCCAAGAACTGCACTAAAAGCCACAGAGAGACAGAATTTTTGTACATGAGAATGGGAAATTAAGAAAAGATTCCATTGCTTTCATGGAGGAACAGGGGCAGGCATTTGTGAGGGACCACGTGGGTTGTTCACATCCCACATCAGAGTGCCCGGCTGAGCTGTGATCCACCTGCTTCTAGGGAGTTCTGCATACCACTTAGCCAAAGCTCTTCCCATGATCTAGTTCTCAAATACGGCTTACTTGTTGGTATCTTTGCAGCCGGCAACTCCACTACCACGCCTCTTTTTTATTTTTTCACAATCTGAAGACAATTCCTTGAAGGCTCTGTCAGACAGGAAAATTGGCTGGCATTGCTTTGGGGCCGCCTAAACAGGCACTTTGCCTTTCAAAGCCTCTTTGAGTTTCAGCTGGAACAGCTTGAAATCAGTGTTTCATAGTCTCTTAGAGGCACCAAATGTCTAAACTTTCTCTTCACTTTTATTTCTGCTTGCAAGCCAGTCCCTTATTCCATGAGCTCATCTCTTTCTTGCAATACACAGTTAAAATCATAAAGTAAATGTCATTTGCAAAGCTCACATGAGGACCAGACCAGGTTGCTATGATCATGGAGGAGCTCTCCCCCACAAAGCAACCTCCAGTCTCAGTCTCCACCCACTGCAGCACCTGCTTTGCAAGCGTCCCAAGCGTGTCATCAACACGCAGAGTAGAAAGGCAATGGCAGCTTTTACGAGCTTCACTGTGATGCATGTAGTCTTGCCTAAGTTTCACTGGCCAAGCCTCAAGTAAGCCCTGTGTTCTATCAAGGGGGCAAAACACAGTGCAGCTGTTGGTCTTGAAGGAAAGTGAAACACGTTTGGCGATCAGCCTCCAGCGTGCATGAAAGCTGTAAAGAGAAATGAACTCTACAACCAGGAAAGGCAAACGGGCCCCAGAAGACGGTAAAGTGGAGAAGAATATGCCAATCAGAGAAAACTCATACAGGTGACTACCTTAGGCACAAGAAGTTCTAAAAGGGTAGTGTGTATAACCAAACAAAAATGCTGAGCATTCTCTCCTAAAAGTACTTTTAAAAGGAAAATATCTTTGCATTTTTATCCATGCTTTATGTTTTTTTGCACATGCTTTCAAATTACCTTTTAGGAGACCCAGCATATAAGTTTCTTGGTCCTGCTTTCCATCTTTCATGTAGATTAATGATATTTATCATATCATCAAAGAGGAAATATCATATAAAGGGCATAAGTATCTCATTTTAATCTGAATATATCAGATATATTTTTCCATGTAATTGATCCTACCAGGAATAGTTTCTTTGAGATGAATAAAAAGCCAAAGATGAAGCTAACTTGTAGTCTTTTATTCCTTCTATTTTATTTTTGCCATACAGTATGCGCAAACACAATTTAGTCCCATGTGTGTTTGTATTATTTTGTTTATTTTGATGAGTTTCAATAAGGAACAAAACAAGCAAATTTCAAAGAGGCTAGGAGGGAGGGAGGTAATCATTTCCCTTAAGACATCTCAAGGAACCTACTCTTCAATATTACTTTCTTTTCTTCCATCATCCTTCCATTTTCCTCATTTGGGGCGGACGAACACGTCCAACACAGAGGCTGTGGTCTCCTTTAATGTGTATCTAATCATGGCTACAACTTCATATTGCAGTTCACATATGTTTATAGGATTCAGTTGAAGAATTAATAAATATGCATGTCAGACTAGAATACGAAGTCATAGTGCCAAGCCACATGGATTTAATTCTTTATTCTGTGTGCGTGTGTCTGTGTGCACATGTGTGCTGTTAATTTTGAATTGGGAATACCGAAATAAAAATAAAAAGGAAAGCCAATGCTGAGAAAAGAACATGAGGAGAGAAAGTAATGGAAGCTCTCAAGTTGCATGCTTACTCCCCTCTGGCTCCCAGGACTGTGCATGTTATCACCTCTCAAACTTGGCAGTGAGGCCTCCAGAGATGCTATTGCCAGGAGCTTTCATCTATGAATTATTAGCCCCAAATATTCTCAGCCAAATGTTACTCCCCTCAGTTTCTCCCCTCCACATTTTTATCTTGACCCTTCTTTAAGTCCTGTACTCTTTTTTTGCCATTTCTCTGGCACCTATTAAATATATCAAGTGACTATCTTGGGATCTTTACACGACCAAGTCACCCTTGTCTGACTTTATGGAAAGAGTAAAATCACAAACTTAGTTATTCACATTTCTCAGTCCATCATATCTAAGTGTCTTTGGCAATTGACTGCACAGGAAAGTAAGCAGATGGGCACCATTTCAAGTTAAATGTCCAAAAATACCATCTTTGCAAACGATTGTGTCAGAGATGTAGAACTTCAGGGAATTCTTGTTTTTCTCACCAATTTTGCCAGGGTCGGAATGTACTAAGCTGTCTAGGGACACTGGAGGTCACCGAGGAAATGTCAATGATCCAGAAAAATCTCCCCACGTCTACCAACCGATCTTTGAAGTTTCTGACCTTTCCAACGACAGTTTCTGGAAGGCCCGCAGTGTGTGCCGAGCATAATTTGAGACACTCGGGGAATTATCAGTGAACAACAGAACAGAGTTCCCAGCCCCTTAAGTTGTTTACGTTCTAGCAAGGGGGAATGCACAACTCAACGTAAGTCTACAAAACAGGCAGCTTACATAGAATTTTAGAAGTTGACGAAAGACACAGCAGAGCAGGGTGAGAGAGACAGGTGTTGTAGGCAGGTTGCAATATGATATAGGTTGATCAGAGTAGGTCCCACTGAGAAGGTGAAATGTGAGGAAAGAGGTGCATGAAAGAGTCAGTCAACAAATGAACAGACATGGCAGGCTGTCGCAGCAAAGTGTACAACTCTAGAAAACGTCTAAGAAAATAGTCGATGGGTTTGAGGTGTAGCAAGGAGGCCAGTTGGTGCCATATAGGACAGCCAGCGAAATGCATGGGAGTGGTGGGTGAATAGAGGGAGTCAGAGGACGTCGCAAGTGGTGAGATGATCCCTGATCCTGCAGTCACTGGAAGGACCGCACCTCTTATTTGAGTGAAATGGGGGAGAAGTCCCTCCACGCTGGAGTTTGAGGAAAGGAACGATGTGATCTTTAGCTTTACAAATGCTCACAGTAGATGCCGCCTTGTGAGAATACTAGAGGGAGACAGGAGTCAAACAGCAGCCTGCAGAGGGCTGTATCTTTAGTAAAGCCATGATAGAGCATCTACGCGACCCCTTATGGGAGCAGCGGCAGGAGTGAAAGGTGCCCAGATTCTGGATGGACTGTGGAGGTAAAGTCTGTTGGTGTTTCCTGAGAAACTGGACGTGGGATACGAGGGAAAGAAGCACCCAAATGTGACTCTCAGTTTTTCAGTCTGAGCAGGGGGTGCGGAGTGGCAAGCAACAGAGATGTGGAAGACGGGAGTTTAAGGAGTGCCTGTGGTGACGCGAGGCCAAGAGTTGGATTTTGAAGGAGGAATTTGGTATATATAAAGGAGAATCAAGTGGAGAAGTTGAGTTGGCAACTGGAATAGACACATCAGAGGTTCAGATGACAGATGTAAATCTGGGTACCAGCACACTATTCGGGTGAGACTACACAGATGGGATCCAGAGCCACAGGTATAGATAAGAGTACCAAGAGAAGCAGTGTAAATACAGAGAAGACGGTCAGTGACTAAGTACAGGGACTTACCGGAAAGTAAGAGGAACCAATTCACGGGAGGAGGCGTAACCAGTGAGAAAGAAGGAAAGACAGAGAGAGAGCCCAATCCTGTGAGCTGAGCAAGGGGCACGCAGCAAGGAGAGCACAGAGCACAGCGTGGTTGCCCCAGATCCTGCTACCGTGGATCACACAGGATGAAGACGAAGTAGTCAAGAAATAGAGACTTACTCCAAACAGTGATAGAATTTGCTCAGGGCCGGCACCGCGGCTCACTAGGCTAATCCTCCACCTAGCAGTGCCAGCACACCGGGTTCTAGTCCCGGTTGGGGTGCTGGATTCTGTCCCGGTTGCCCCTCTTCCAGGCCAGCTCTCTGCTGTGGCCAGGGAGTGCAGTGGAGGATGGCCTAAGTCCTTGGGCTTGCACCCCATGGGAGACCAGGAGAAGCTCCTGCCTTCGGATCAGCGCGGTGCGCTGGCCGCAGCACGCCAGCTGTGGCGGCCATTGGAGGGTGAACCAACGGCAAAGGAAGACTTTTCTCTCTCTCTCTCTCTCTCTCACTGTCCACTCTGCCTGTCAAAAAAAAAAAAAAAAGAAAGAAAAGAATTTGCTCAGGAATGACCTGAGCATGTGATGGTTCCAGGATTTTTGTCAACGTCTACTGAGTCACTTACAAGGAAAACCTGTGCTTATTCTACAGGCAACCAGACAGGAGGGCTACACGGACCCCGCCATGGCCGCCCAGGACGCAATGGTAACTAGAGCCCACGCTGGCCCTGACTGTGTACAGCCTGTGTGGGAGCGGCTGGGTGGGTCTGACACACCTGCGGGCTGTGTACTGTTCCAGGTGCTGTGGGAGGCCTGCCAGCAGAAGACCGGGGCGCACAAAACCATGCTCCAGATGATCCTGTGCAACAAGAGCTACCAGCAGCTGTGGCTGGGTGAGGATGAGCGGGGGCTCTTTCCAGCTCCTCCACTGATTATGACACAGAAAACAGAACATTCATGGGGCTGGGGCTGGGGCTGGGACACGGGTTAAGCCACCACCTGTGACTCCCCACATCCCATATCACATGCCATATCAAGCACCAGCTGGAGTCCCGTGTCCTCTGCTTGTGTTCCAGCTCCCTGCTAATGCACCTGGGGAGCAGGTGATGGCCCATAGCTGAGTCCCTGCCACCCAGGCGGGAGGCCCTGATGGAGCTCCTGACTCCTGGCTTCGAGCTGGCCCATTGGGAAGTAACCAGAGAACTGAAGATCAATCCCTCTCTCACTCCCCCCACCACCACAACTCTTCCTTTCAAACAAATATAACTTTTTAAAAAGCAAGTAGCTAAGTAGTAAAAAAGGTTGCAACAAAGGAAAGTCCATTTACTTCAAAGCTACTTTTGAATCCTGTTGGTACGGATTTGCTTCATCTCAGGGCATTACCAAGGAATACAGTTTTCTCTATACTTTTATTATTTGCGTTTACTAAATTGCGTAAACTTCCAAATACTGAACCTTTTAAAATTGATATCTATTTTTTGATGAAGAACTTACTCCAAAAATTAGCTATTTCCTGTCAATTACACTGTATGTTTCCTTGAAAACTGGCTGAGGAGCATGGTTCCATGAGTCCGTAACAGCCAGGGTCACTGCTCCTGACACAATCTGTGTGACAGCAGGAGTGTCTCAGTGGTCTCAGAAGGACGCTGACATTAGTCTGACTTTCCCCAAATGTCAGTGCCTTGTTCCCTTACTTAGAAACGAAAGCATCGACTTTGTAAGTTGACCTCATAGAAGTTGAGAGTCGAATCCAGAGGCTGGGGAGAGAAGGGGTGGGGGGAGGCTGGGAAAAGGCTGGCTAACAGGTGCTTAAGTTACACTGGATAGGAGCAGGCAGCTCTGAAGTTCTCCTGCACAATAGGGAGAACACAGATAACGACCTTTGTATTTTTCTCAAAATAAGCTGGAAGAAAGGATTTTGAATGTTTTCATCATGATAAGTGTTTGAGGAGATAGAGATGTTTACCCTGATTTGAACACCATGAACCACCACATGGTACCACTTAATCCTGTACAGTACTTAGTTTTTAAAATGTTAAAAGTTGAAAAAAAAAACTGTTTTTTTTCTATATAAAGCACCAAAGTCTATAAGAATTTTTTGAGAGACCTACTCCCCACTACTCTATATGTTAATTAGAAATCATAGTAAAAAGATACCTCCTCACTTCCAATTTGCTGTAAGAATGAATGAAAACTTAGTTTCCTGTGTTAAAGCCAGATAAGTAAGTTCTTGAAATAGGAAGCTTAATTTAGCAAAATTGGCTGAGGTAAACGCCACCCTATGCCCCTAATAGAGATTTCATAGTCCTCATAAAACTCCTCATAGATTAAGATTTACTTATTTATTTGAAAGGCATAATTACAGAGAGAGAGGTAGAGATACAAAAAGAGAGAGCTTCGTTCACTGGTTCACTCCTTAAATGGCCACAATGGTCAGGACAGGACCAGGCCAAACTAGGGTCCAGGAGCTTCTTCCAGGTCTCTGAAGTGGGTGGCAATGGCCTACACTTGGGCCATCTTTCACTGTTTTCCCAGATGCATTAGCAGTGGGACAGTGGAAGTGGAGCAGCCAGGTCTCAGACTGATGCCCACAGGGGCTGCCAGCATCACAGGCAGTAGCTTTACCTGCTACACTACAATGCCAGCCCCCATAGCTGCTGCTGCTGCTGCTGCTGCTTCTTGTTTTTGTGTGTGTGTGTTTTGTTTGTTTGTTTGTTTTTTTGTTTGTTTGTTTGTTTTTTTGACAGGCAGAGTTAGACAGTGAGAGAGAGACACAGAGAAAAAGGTCTTCCTTCCGTTGGTTCACCCCCCAAATGGCCGCTATGGCTGGCACTGCGCCAATCCGAAGCCAGGAGCCAGGCGCTTCCTCCTGGTCTCCCATGCGGGTGCAGGGCCCAAGCACTTGGACCATCCTCCACTGCCCTCCCGGGCCACAGCAGAGAGCTGGACTGGAAGAGGAGCAACCGGGACAGAACCGGCACCCCAACCGGGACTAGAACCTGGGGTGCCAGCACCACAGGTGGAGGATTAGCCTAGTGAGCCGTGGCGCCGGCCCATAGCTTCTTTTTAACATATTACCTTTTACTTGATAGGGAGAGAGACAGAGAACTCCCATCCATTGGTTCACTCCCCAAATATCCTCAACGACTAGGCCAAGGTCAGAGTGGGGGAGCCGGTAACTCAATCCAGGTCTCCCAACTTGAGTGGCAGGAACCCAATTACATGAGCCATCACCTGCTGCCTCCCAAAGTTTTTATTATCAGGAAGCTGGTATTGGGAGCAGAGCTGTGAATCAACCCCAGGCACTCTGATTTGGGATGAAACATGGCATCTTAACTGCTAGGCTGAACACCTGCACCTCTTCCTAGATTGTATGATCACAATTTAATCATCACTAAAAGAACTTTTTTAAAGATTTATTTATTTATTTGAAAGGCAGAGTTACATAGAGAGAGAAGAGGCAGAGAGAGAGGTCTTCCATCTGATGGTTCACTCCCCAATTGGCCGCAATGGCTGGAGCTGCAGCTATCCAAAGCCAGGAGCCAGGAGCTTCTTCCAGGTCTCCCACAGGGTGCAGGGGCCCAAGGACTTGGGCCATCTTCTACTGCTTTCCCAGGCCACAGCAGAGAGCTGGATCAGAAGCGGAGCGGCCGGGACTAGAACCGGTGCCCTTGTGGGATGCCGGTGCTTCAGGCCAGGGCCTTAATTCACTGCGCCACAGCGCCAGCCCTGACTCAAAGAATTTTAACACTTATTTATTCTAATATCTAAGCTCTAGAAGAAGTTTGCTATTGATCTAAGTACAGCTGAGTGTATGTCCTAAACAAAAGGCCCATAAATAACAGCTAGACATGTGCCTCCTGTCAATTTAAATCAGCAGTGATCCCCAGGAAGTAGTGATCATTCCCCAGAAGAGAATAGTAGATCCTTGAAGTCCAAGATCTATGCTGACTCCACTTACACAACCAATAGCAGTATTGTCCATTGCTTTACATAAAATGTTCACCTTCATTATGTACGGCAATCAGCAATTGTTATGATACAAAAAATCTCCTTTGAATTCTACCAATTTGTTGAAGTTTTCCAGGAATTTCAAAATATCTCTGGGCAAGACATAGTAGATGCCATCAATGATTGTTACGACGGATACTTCCAGCAGCTGCTGGTTGCCATTGGTGAGTGATCATAAATATGAGGTTCAGCGGACCTGTGTGTGCCAGAGTGAATTAGTGAATTACAGGTGCATGAGTGAGCTCTTGGCTGGCCTGGCTGTTCTCCACTGAATAATTATTTAAAGGGGATATAAACCCTACATAGAGAAAGGACATCAGGAGACAGAACGTACGATACGGCCAGGCTGATGACTTTACTGAAGAACTGAGCGCTCTTCTAACATCTGCGTCAACTTTCTGACTAACAAACAGCATTCTCGGATGCTGTCTCTCAGGAACGGTTCTCACTCTGTTAAATCCATGTCACATTTTCTGATTCCTGATCCCCTGTTCAAGAGCAGATCAAGGCCAGCCATGTGGCTTCTTTTCCTCCAAGAAGAAAAGGGGTTTTAGTTTTTTGTTTGGGTTGGTAGGGAGGTGGAGAAGAGTTGGTCACCTTCTCCAAAAAGTTTAAGAGTAAAAAAAAAAAAAAAAAAAAAAAAAAAAAAAGAGTAAATCCTACCTAAAAGAGATTCACTGAGTTGTTATTTAGTCGTGATTTCTGCAGACAATTGTGAGACACACACTTCCCCCTGCTTCCTAGGTAGAAAAACACTACCTTCCATGCAGAGAAACAGTGATAGTTATCTACAAAATCAACCATAAGTCACCCTTGCTTTTCTTGTCCTGGGTTGTGACAGTTCAATGACTATAAAGACAGGTCATTGTGAAATATCCCCATAGTAGGTACGCAGGAATTACTTGGATATGAGCAAAATCAATGAGCATTTTGATTTTCCATGCATAGAATAGCATATACCTGCATGAACATGGAGCTGAGAACAGTATTCTCATAGTTTATCTAGTAAAGGAGTTGTTTTTTTTTTTTTTTTTTTTTTTTTTTGGACAGGCAGAGTGGACAGTGAGAGAGAGAGAGAGAGAAAGGTCTTCCTTTTTGCCGTTGGTTCACCCTCCAATGGCTGCCACGGCCGGCGCGCTGCGACCGGTGCACCACGCTGATCCAAAGGCGGGAGCCAGGTGCTGCTCCTGGTCTCCCATGGGGTGCAGTTTCTATGAAAATGGTCTGGTGGAGTTTACAAAACCCTGAAAGAGTATATGACTGCTTACATCTTTGTATTTTTCTGACAATAAGGTACATATGTTCTAGAAAATTCTCAACAAAATCTAGTAACCATACATCACATCAAAACCCTGCCATTTACAAACAAGGCCAAAGGAGGTTAAGTGACTTCCAAAGTCTATGAGCTAATGAGCAACAAAGTTACGAGTGGAGCTCATGTCATCTGAACCTTGCCAGCTCTCTTTCCAATGTAGATCATTGGCACAAAGCGTGGACATAAGACAGGCCACAGTGGGTATCAGAAACACCATAAAACATCTTACCTTGAGTCATTAACTCACTCAGTGAGCACTACTGACCTTTGATGTAGGCACTGCAGACTGGAAGAGGAAAGCATCAACAGACACAGCGAAAGTCCTCCTCCTTCAAGGAGCTCACATCCCAGAAGGGACTCAAGGGCGATCACTGAGTTCACTGTTCAGGAGAGGGAGGAAGATGTGGGCTCACAACCTAAAGCAATTACTTGAACGACAGAGAAAATGCTGTTGCGATGCACTTATTCTACGGTTATTCTATGTCATAACCTCTCACACATTAATCACTCAGTCACGCATTCATCCACTTACTCTGTTGAGTGCTACAGTCATCAACTGAATTCCATCCAGGATAGTTGTTGACCAAGGCTCTATGCTGTTCTAATGCTATGGCAGTTTTGATTGGATGACTCCTAAAACTGGCCTAGACTAGTTATGGCCCTTACATGTTCTGCTTAAGTGACTTCAGATCTACCCACAAGTCTATAAGGGACTAAAAGTAGCATTGGGAAGATGAAGGAACTGCATGGGGGCTATGTCTTGGTGAATCCCACATTAGCAAAGCTTCAGTAACAATGCTGATAAACTGGGCCTTTTGGAAGCCCTACTTAGTTCCTTTCAAAGATGACAAACTTTGCTTTTCCAGGAACCAACAGAGTTCCAAGAGAAAGAGAGAGATTAAATGAAATTCTGAATGAATCATTACAACACTGCTGCTTCATGTGTTTTCTAAGAGTTGTGGTGTATCAGTCTAAATAACAATCAGAGAAGAGAGTCTCTAAAGAATGAAGACATGGATTTGACAACGACAGAGCATTGTGAAGGGGATATGAGTGTTTTAGTAAACTATGGGAGGGTTCAAGGAGGTTTATTTAGGCAAAGGGAAGAAATTTATGCAAGGACTTGGATACGAAGTTCTTTGTTCTTGGAAAACCAAGGCAGCAGTTGACATCAGTTCATGGGTGTTGGTCCATTGCTGGACAAGCGTTCTCTCTAGAGCGTTTTGTCTGAATAAGCTGCAATCAGTAAACAGTGTTCAAGATCAACCTTGTTCCCGAAATCTGTGGATACCTGCAGGTGTGAGTAGTACAAAGCATGGAGTGCTTGTAGAAGAGAAAGAATCGCTTTGGGATCTCAAGAAAGTTGTTATCCCGGACAGACATGAGCCATTCCTGCAATACTTCCCAGCCCGAATTCTTTTTTTTTTTTTTTTTTTTTTTGACAGGCAGAGTGGACAGTGAGAGAGAGAGACAGAGAGAAAGGTCTTCCTTTGCCATTGGTTCACCCTCCAATGGCCGCTGCGGCCGGCGCGCTGCGGCCGGCACACCGCGCTGATCCGATGGCAGGAGCCAGGAGCCAGGTGCTTTTCCTGGTCTCCCATGGGGTGCAGGGCCCAAGCACCTGGGCCATCCTCCACTGCACTCCCTGGCCACAGCAGAGAGCTGGCCTGGAAGAGGGGCAACCGGGACAGAATCCGGCGCCCCAACCGGGACTAGAACCTGGTGTGCCGGCGCCGCTAGGTGGAGGATTAGCCTAGTGAGCCGCGGCGCCGGCCCCAGCCCGAATTCTGTCTAGAGATGACAGGAATGATCTCACCTTGGTGTCATAAACTGTCACAAGTGTGATCATTGCTCTACATGTTGAAATCACCATTCAACATGAGGATTGTAACAGCAGGAAAAAAGCATCTCGTTGTTTCTCAAACATTATCACACCCAGCGCTCCTCCTTTTCATTCTGATTTCTCCTAGTGCTCTGTGTTCGAGATAAACCAGCCTACTTTGCTTATCGACTGCACAGTGCCATCCATGTAAGTAAGACCCACACGTTTTCAAACTTTCTTCAGAAATGGAATCTGTTTTCTCCAATAGCTATTTTTATTTCGATTATTTAAATATTGATTTCCATTCTTGAACATGTATGTAAACAGGTACAAAAAATATATGTCCAAGTGGGGAAAAAAATCATGTTATGCAACGGAAATAAGACTCATCAAAGAAAAAGTAGTGCTCTGCTCTCTGTACAGATGTAGGTACCTAAGAAGTGTGGTTCTTTGTTTTCCTGTCCCCCATGTCCTTTGGAGTCTCAGCAGCCACAGAAATGGCAAATTCAAATGCTTTTATTTCCAAAGAGCACACATCATCTTATGCAAACACAAAATATGTGGCACCAAGAAGAACATGTCAAAAAATTATACTCTTGGCAAGGAATTGCTACTTTCCTAAAGTTTAAAACACAAAATAATGCTAATGGTTATTTTTAAACATGAGGTGTTGTTTTCCAAACATACTTAAAGTAATGGCTAGACAGTGCTAAATTCTAAGCTATTTTATAATTGACATTTTTTTTCACATTTTATTATGATAATCACATTCTTTGGAGCATTTGTTTAGGGAAACAAACAGGTACACCAGATAATATGAGGGGACTTCAAAAAGTTCATGGAAATGGATTTAAAAGATAAATTTGTTTTGATGCCCAAATTTTGAAATCCATGCATTTATACAGTCTTTAAGAAAATAAAATTCAGCCGGCGCCGCAGCTCACTAGGCTAATCCTCCGCCTTGCGGCACCGGCACACAGAGTTCTAGTCCTGGTCGGGGCGCCAGATTCTGTCCCGGTTGCCCCTCTTCCAGGCCAGCTCTCTGCTGTGGCCAGGGAGTACAGTGGAGGATGGCCCAAGTGCTTGGGCCCTGCACCCCATGGGAGACCAGGAGAAGCACCTGGCTCCTGCCATCAGATCAGCGTGGTGCGCCGGTCGCAGCACACTGGCCGCAGCGGCCATTGGAGGGTGAACCAATGGCAAAAGCAAGACCTTTCTCTCTGTCTCTCTCTCACTGTCCACTCTGCCTGTCAAAAAAAAAAAAAAAAGAATATAAAATTCATATTATAAAAACAAAACTAGACATAGATTTTAAACTTTTTTGCACCAAAATACTTATTTTTTAATTCTATTTTTCCACAAACTTTCTGAAGTCCTCTCATGTACACTTTATCCATAATGTGCATGAAATATATTTGAAGATTGTATATACATCTGTGTGTGTGTGTGTGTGTGTGTGTAGAGAGAGAGAACCTTGAAAACTTAAAAAAATCTAATGACACAGTAATTTTAGTAGCTTTATCTTCAAAGTAATTTTTATACACCAACTTCTTAAATGCAGCCAGCATGCCAAGAAAATACTTATAGTCAAGGGTACTTTATTGTGCATCTTCTGAGTTGAGTATTTATTTACGCACAAGAACCTAAGTAAGTTCCAGTTATAGAAAGGAAGTAACCCTTCCAAGGAGAAAAGATTGATTTGATTGAAGTTGTATTTGAAGTAGAGCAGTGTGTTGGGCAAAGCTATGGGGTGATTCAAGTCTTTGCTCCAAAGAGCTAACAACAGAGAAAGCTTCACTAGTCCATGACCATGGAAAATCACCTCAGCTACCCTGATCCCACTGATGCCTAAATTCAGAGCTACTTAGTCTAAGTATCGCATATGTCCATAGGTTGTATGGGAGCAGGAAGGCGTGTGCACTCACAAGTGGTTGGGAGGCGAGGGGGAGGGCTGCATAGTCAGGTAATCAAATGTCTGATATATGAGGACCTCAGATGCCAAATATTTGTCAAAAAGGCCATTTCCCCATTCACACACCAAAGCATCTTCCTGTGTTCTCCCCAGGGCACTCTAAGTTAATGACCTACAATCTACATTTGGGAACTTGGTTGGATCATTCATTTTAATCACCTCAAATTGTGAGATCTATTATCCCAATTATCAAAAATTGCATTATGCTTGCTGGCCACTAGAGATCACCATTCCCCCATCTGGAAAGAGTTGGAACCATTTGTCAAGCAGTATATCTGCGAGAAGTACATGGCCATTGATCTTGTATTCTGGGGTATTTAAATCAGAAAGTACTTCAAGCACCTGGGGCTCTTATTTTTACAACTTTTCAACAATCACCAGATTACAGAATGACAATGTAATGTCTTATATCCATGCTCTACTAATAAAGGTTGGAATCTCTCCTCCCCAGGATATTTATCTAGAAAGAACACATAATGAGATTTGCCATTTACAGCATGAAATGTGACAGAGACAATATGAAGGTTGGCCAGGATGGAAAAGGGAGAAACTATTACAGAGTCAGGGAGAAAGGACAGGGGTCAGAGTCAAGGCCATGACCCAGGGCAGGCGAGACGTCAGGTGGAACAGAATAACTCACCCTAAGTGCGCTTGAAGTGAGCAGAAGTCACAGAGGCAGCTCTCGGGGTCAGGCTGAGCACCATGGGATGGGACAGCAGTGCCTGCATTTGAGGACTAGGAGAACAGCAGTCGCTCCAGCCAAGGGCTCAATCTCTCTTGATGCTCAAGTACTATTTCCTCAACCCACCTCCCTCCCCTTCTGTATCTTTTAGGACTTTGGTTTCCATAATAAAACCGTGATCCGGATCCTCATTGCTAGAAGTGAAATAGACTTGATGACCATAAGAACACGGTACAAAGAGAGATATGGGAAATCCCTGTTTCATGATATCAGAGTAAGTCTACTGCGTGTGAGCAACGTGACCCCCTTCTCATCGTTTCTGAAACTGTGACTGTGCTAAACGCTTTGATTTGAATGCTTTCTTGGTAGAGTCCTAATAGGGGCAGTCTGGGTTACTACTCGAGCAACTACTACTGTTGCCTTTGAGTACAACAGGTTGCAGCCGCAGACAACCCCTTCACCTGAATTGACAGAGCTGACTCCTCTTAGTCTAAGGTAAATCACAGATGTAACCAAATAAAACATCCATGCCCTAGAATTGCACCTTATGAGCTAAATTCTGAAGTGTGATCAGGATGAGGAAAAACACGTTTTTGCAGCAAGATCATATTAATGGTGAAGAGATTCTAAAACCAGTCCAGCTGGGCTCTCACAAGCCATGGAAAGCAAGCAGCCAGCCAGACGCTGTCAACCGGCCACTGTGAAGTTTGGCACTACTGGTTGTAGAACACTCTACACATCAGAAGGAAACAAGTCAGCTCTTCATCCTGATACCTCTAACCTCTACTGTGGGTTTTGATAAAAGCTATCAGAATACATAAGATCAGCTATGTAATTTTTAGGACCCAGTGAAAAATAAACACTCCTTGGCCTCTTGTTCAAACTAATTCTAAAGATGCTGGCAATGGGGCACTGAGAACATGTCATAGTTTGCATCTGCACAGAGCTAAGGGCTGTATCCTTGTTCATGTGTTTTCAATGGAAATTTTCAACTTCTGGAAACAGCTCTTTAATTTATTGGAAGAGTGATCCAGAAGCAATTCAACAACCCAAAGACCCAGAGATCATAAATCCAGAAGACTTTGCAGGCCCTTTGCAGCCCAGGTGGAGCAGTTAAGGGAATCCAATTCCTTTATCTTTGCTAAAGCTCTCCTTACATCCACCTCTAAAACCTCCGAAACCTTCAACTCAGTTTGGGACACTAAACATTTCCCATGGAGCAATGCAGGTCATAACTCCTTCTCCACATGAATGGCTAGGTCTTAGCTGCTTAGCATAATGAATCTCAGCCACCTCAAAGTCTGCTAAGAGTTCACATAATTAGAGCAACTTCAGGATGCATTCAAAGCCGTGAATGAGAATTACATGACAACATTGTGCAAGAGAACAGTAATACGATAGCTGATTTTTTAACAAAGATAAATTTTTATCATATTTTATTTATTACTATCATTGTTTGGGGAAATTTAGAAACTACAGAAGAGCATAAAAAGTAAAAATAAAAACTTCCCTAATTCTCCACCACAGAATAAAATTTTGTTGTAGGTGCTGCTATGGTCTGAATGTTGGAGGACCCCACAAAATTCAGATGGGGAAATCCTAGTCTCCTAATCCTCTGTATGGGATTAATGTCTTCATAGAATGGGGTTCACCACATGAGGTTAGAGTGAGAAGGCGGCTGTCCATATGAGCACGGACCCTGGGTAGACACCGGATCTGCCAGCAACTTGATCTTGGCCATTCCAGCACCCAGATCCAAGAGAAATAAGTTCTTGTCATTTATAACATTCCAGCTTGATGGTATTTTGTTATAGCAACCCAAATAGATGGCTGCTTTGGGTTGTCTTTTAAAAATAAATAACTACTGATATGTCTCATTAATAAAAGGAATCCTTCTACTGAATCATGGTATCCCACTCTATAAACTGTAACATACTTAAGCTACCTCACATGATTTTACAACCGCTTTTCAGTTTTTCACTATTATACACAGCATAACTAATAATTTCAAATCTATTTCCTGAGATAGGATTACTGCATTCATGAATATGAGCATTTTTAAATCTTTGGAGATGCAGCAACAATTTTTCCCCAGGCTCCGCCCTGATTTATACCAATAATATGTAAGACAGCTCTTTCTACAGCTGAGGAGATTGAATTCTACTGCAAGTCACTGTTGTGCTAAGCAGACGTCAATCAACGCGCTTTCACCCACACACTGCTGACTATCCCCACAGCATTATGTTTCAGTGGTTTCACTGGGAACCATTCTCAGAAACATTAAATCTTTAGATTAAAAAAAAGTGAATAATTTTGGGAAGGCTAATTTTGCACTTCAGAAACACTGTGTTTCTCCGACAATTTTATTTCATATACGTTGTATTTTTTTTTCTTTCCTTTTCAGCACTTTGCTTCAGGGCACTATAAGAAGGCACTGCTGGCCATCTGTGCTGGTGACATGGAGGACTGCTGACACAGAGGGGAGGATGGGGAGCGCCGGGCACTCTTCACAGACACATCAGAGCACAGAGTGTGACACATGCGTTGTCACTCACACCACCACCAAACTACAAGATCAAATTTTCTCTTCTGTCTGTAAAATTATTCCAAAATCTATGAATGAAAATCTATGATCAAGGATTTGCACCTGTTATTTGATCATCAAAGAATTAATTTGTATATGATGGAATAATAACAATATTGCCATGGAATACAGTGTTTTGGTTTTTCTTCAAGACTTAATCATTTGAAAGGCAGAGTTAACAGAGAGGGAGAGATAGAGAATGAAAGAGAGAGATCCTCCATCTGTGGTTCACTACCCAAATGGCCACAAGCAGCCAGGAACCTAGAACTCCATCCAAGTCCTCCATGTGGGTACAAGGACCCAAGCACTTGAACCATCTTTGTCTGCTTTCCCAGGTACACTGGCAGGGAACTGGATCAGAGGTAGAGCAGCTGGGTGTTCTTATGGGATACTAATGTCACAGGTGGCAGCTTAATCCACTGTGCCGGCCCCAGAATAGGTTTTATTTAAATGAGAATTATCTGTACCCGACAGGGAATCTACTCAAGACTTTCCTTAGTGTATTTTGGGACAGCAAGGAAAATGCATTGTGTGATCATCCTATTTAGAGGAATTTTCAAACTTCTGTAAAAATACAATAAAGTTCAAGTGAACTCCTATGGCAGTCTTTAAAATAAAATGCTCAGTTAGTTGTCGCCAATCAGGGAGAACATATGATATTTGTCCCTTTGGGACTGGCTTAATTCACTCAGCATAATGTTTTCCAGATTCCTCTATCTTGTTGCAAATGACCGGGTTTCATTGTTTTTGACTGCTGTATAGTATTCTATAGAGTACATGTCCCATAACCATTTTAGTATTTTTTTGTTCTAGTACTATTGTTTGAACTCTGTAATTAACACACAATTATTCTTAGGTGTTTAAATTTAACTGAAAAGTGATCCCTGTTAAATATAAGAGTGGCAATAAGAGAGGGAGGATACGTACAATTTGGGACATGCTCAATCGGACTTGCCCCAAATGGTGGAGTTAGAAATGTGCCAGGGGATTCCAATACAATCCCATCAAGGTGGCATGTACCAATGCCATCTCACTAGTCCAAGTGATCAATTTCAGTTCACAATTGATCACACTGATAGGACTTAGAGTCAAAGGGATCACACAACAAGACTAGTGTCTGCTAATACTAGCTGATAGAATCAAAAAGGGAGAGAACAATCCAACATGGGAAGCGGGATACACAGCAGACTCATAGAATGGCAGATGTCCTAAATAGCACTCTGGCCTCAGAATCATCCCTTAAGACATTCAGATCTGGCTGAAGAGCCCATGAGAGTATTTTAGGCATGGAAAGCCAAGACACTCTGGCAAAAAAAAAAAAAAAAAAAAAAAAACAAAACAAAAAAAAAACAACAACTAAATGAAAGATCTCTGCAAGTGAGATCTGCGAGTGAGATCCCAGTGGAAAGAACAGGGCCTTAAAGAAGGAGGTACCTTTCTCTGAAGGGAGGAGAGAACTTCCACTTTGACTATGATCCTGTCAGAATAAGATCAAAGTCGGCGAACCCAAAAGGCTTCCATAGCCTTGACAACTCATGACTAGGGCCTAGGGAGATTACTGATGCCATAAACAAGAGTGTCAAATTGTTAAGTCAACAACAGGAGTCACTGTGTACTTAATTCTCATGTGGGATCTGTCCTTAATGTGTTGTCCAATGTGAAGTAATGCTATAACTAGTACTGAAATAGTATTTTTACACTTTGTGTTTCTGTGTGGGTGCAAACTGATGAAATCTTTACTTAATATATACTGAATTGATCTTCTGTATATAAGATAATTGAAAATGAATCTTGATGGGAATGGAATGGGAGAGGGAGCAGAAGATGGGAGGGGTGCGAGTGGGAGGGAAATTATGGGGGGGAGCCAATGCAATCCATAAACTGTACTTTGGAAATTTATATTTACTAAATAAAAAAAATACATAAATAAAATAAAATGCATATAAAGCAGCAAAATGCAGCCAGACATATGCATATCAAGTTCACAAGAGACTTGGATGTCCTAATAAGATATGCATATTTGACAACACTCTGTTAAAGGCAACTTATCTCCTGCTAATTTTTATTTTGAGAAGCAGAGAAACTGACAGGCTGAGACCTCCCATCTGTGACAAAAACCAAGAGACAGGAACCAAAGTTGGTTCTCCATGTGAATGGCAGAGATCTAACTACCTAAGCAATCACCAACCACCCACACCCCCACCACCAGGGGTCCACATTAGCAGGAAGCTGGAATCAGGAGCCAGAGCCAGGCACTGAACAAAAGCACTACTAGGTGGGACACAGGCTTTTTTTTAAAGATGTATTTATTTATTTGGAAGTCAGAGTTACACAGAGAGAGGAGAGGCAAAGAGAGAGAGAGAGGTCTTCCATCTGCCTGGTTCACTCCCCAATTGGCCACAATGGCCAGAGCTGTGCTGATCCGAAGCCAGGAGCCAGGATTTTCTTCCAGGTTTCCCACGCAGGTACAGGCATCCAAGGACCTGAGCTATCTTCTACGGCTTTCCCAGGCCATAGCAGAGAGCTGGATTGGAAGTGGAGCAGCCAGGACTTGAACCAGCATCCATATGGGGTGCTGGCACTGCAGGCAGCAGCTTTACCTGCTATGCCACAACGCCAGGCATCTTAACAACCAAGCGTAATGCCAATCAGTTGCCCAAGCAATGTGAGGAAATCCATCGCTCCACGTTTTTGTCTTCACTTCTTCAGATCGGCATCAAAGACTCTCAAATGCTTTGTGCCATCAGTAAAGCCCGATTCCCTCTGTCTCCCACAATTCAGCAGGTCAGCAACACACTCAGCTCAGATTTGGGAGAGAACACAAACTGATGCCACAATCCAGCCACGAAGGAAAGCAGAGGCAGGGACAGGTGAGTTTAGCTCAGAAGACTCCCGGGCTCAGCCAGAGCAGACAACACACCAGGGTGGTCAGGAGCGGTGGTGGGTGAGGCTGAGCAAGGCGATCCAGCCGGATGGCCTGGTGAGGGTTCTACTGTGCTTATCCCACATGGGACTTTTTCAACAGCATATGGTCTAGTCCCTGTGTGCTTGCTCCTGCTGGTCTCGGGGGGGGATGGGGGAACGTACCCAGAGCCTAAGTGTCTGATAGGAGGAATGAAATGGAGCACTCACATTACAGGACTTGGGGACAACATGAACTCTCAGCAATAATTAGACTTCTGAAGTCAATGTCAAGATTCCAACTCCCTTCTAAGGGCTGTTATCACATAATTTTAAATCGAGCTTGACTTCTAGTTTTAAATTCTCATGATCTGAACATTTCAAGGCCAAAATAGTCATTGCATACATCTATCAAATTATCACACTGCAGCCCACAAGTAAGTACAATTAAAATAATTTGAAAATAGCAACTGTTTGAGCTATTTAGCATATATTACTTTTGCATGCTAAAATGCTCATAGAAGGAAAATGTTAGTTTCTGTTGAGAATTCAGGTATTTAAAAAAAGGGTTTCTTTGCTATGATGTCTTTCAATAATTACCAACCTATACTTTAGCTAGGCAACGTATTTTACTTCTAGAATCAGCTGTGGGAGAGTGAGGTGAACAGTGGCTCCGGGAACATCCTGGGCTGACACTGCCAGTCACCGTTGATGTGTGCAAGCACAGCCGCTTGGGGACAATCATCTGAGATGTCACTGGGGAGCTGTTTAAGGAGAGGCCACTCAGCGGGGCTTAGTCTGAGGGTGGGCCACGTTCAGGACCCCTGTGAGGAGGGAAGAATCCTGAGTAAAGTTGGAGCAGGTCAAGGTCAAGCAGGAGCAGGTCAAGGTAACTGCTACTACGTCCAGATGCTTAGGAAGAAAACACATCAGCTGGCTTTTTTTGGGAGACATGAATGGGAATTTGGAGGGAGAATCAAGCATTGGCACAGGGAAGCGAGGGAATGCTGGGTGTCTTATCAGAGTCTTATGGGAAAGGGTGGTTCCTGCACAGGCCATTTGCAAGCCTCTTTCCTGAAGCGCTGAGGCGCAGGGAGCTCTTAGCCGTCTTCATCTTCCAGGAAGGTCCTAGGGCCCCGGTTTAACACAGACAGCGTCATCTTCGTTTCCAAAGTTTCTTACTGAAGGCATCACTCAGTTGTTGAAACGCTAACACAACATTGTCATCCTCATCACCGCACAGCTCACTTAGTGAAATTCTGTATAAAAACATACAGTGTTTATTAGCACTGTGATGTGTGCCTAGAGATGTTTAACTGGTTCTATGGGCTTCCAACACTGAGAAGTGTACGGTACCTGATGGACTGAATGGTCAGTATGAAGTCTCTGATTAAGTGAAAAGCATCGCCCATGTTCAACCTACAGATAAACAAGAGTAAAATGACACGTGAGGGAATGAAGTGGGTTCTGGTGTGCCCCCCGAAGCAGGGGGAGTAATCCATGGATGCTGCACTGTCGGCCTGTCCAGAGACATGTCAACGCAGCTCTGGGAGCGCGCAGTCTCTGGCTTGCCCTCGGCAGGGCCAGTGCTTTGCTTCTGCGTTCAGCTCCAGGTAGCCTGGTAAACAGGCTCATCATTTGGCTAAAAAAAAGACACAACTTTCCATGCTCTTGTATATTAGCGCATTGATATTACCAGAATTAATCTTACAGTGTCCAGTACGGGAGAGTCAGTGAGAGACAGAGTGGGCTGCTGTAAGGACACATCCCCTAGTAAAAGCATAAAATAGAGAGAGAGAGCAGGCAAAAACTATCAGTCAGCTTTATCAGACTCTGGGAAACAAAGGCTTAACTCTGAATCAAGAAAAAGGCGGGGAAAACTGTGACATCTTTACTCCCCCTCCTCCATCCTCCCTTGAGCTCAGGGGCACTGTTGAAGACAGCAGCCCATGCTCCTGCGGGGGCCCTTGTTCCCTGGTTGCAGGGGGAGCGGAGCCGCCCTGTCAGTTCTGAGCTGTCCAGGGGCCGCCTGAAGGAGGGGTGAGGCACTTGCCCTTGCGGAGCCTGCATAGGCACTCAGAGAGAGAGAAGCAGCAGGCACTCCTTGAGAACACGGCAAGGCAATCTAACAACCTGCTGCCGTCTGTCTGGTTCCGTTTTTGATCTTTGTCTTAAATTCACTCCCTTCTTGCACTGTTCCTAGAGACCTGCAAGAGGTGAAAGCGTAGGCTCATCTCACGCTTTCCCTGAGCGAACCTTCTGCCTTAGGCATGTACATGTTGTGACCTTGTCACCATGGTCGTCCTAGTTTTTTTTTTTTTTTTTTTTTTTTTTTTTTTTTTTTTTTTTTTTTGACAGGCAGAGTGGACAGTGAGAGAGAGAGACAGAGAGAGAAAAGGTCTTCCTTTGCCGTTGGTTCACCCTCCAATGGCCGCCCGCTGCAGGCGGCGCACCGCCGCTGATCCTGGCAGGAAGCCAGGAGCCAGGTGCTTTTCCGGTCTCCCATGGGGTGCAGGGCCCAAGCACCTGGGCCATCCTCCACTGCACTCCCTGGCCATAGCAGAGAGCTGGCCTGGAAGAGGGGCAACCGGGACAGAATCCGGCGCCCCAACCGGGACTAGAACCCGGTATGTGCCGGCGCCGCAAGGTGGAGGATTAGCCTATTGAGCCACGCGCCGGCTGGTCGTCGTAGTTTTTTAATTCCCCCAACACACACTGCTTAGTATACTCTTTATTCTCAAATAAACTTTCTTCCAGCAATTCCTCATCAGTTTTCTATACTCCATGACAACGTCTCAACAGACAAAAGGCAGAGGAAGGCAGAATGCGTTCTCTCTCGGCCTGACTGCCCGAGACGCTGATCCACTCTTGAACTCGAACCTGAACTATCAGGAGTTCATGGTTCTCAGGCTTTGGGACTCAAGCTAGAATTTACAGCACTGACTTCCCTGGGTCTCTGGCTGAGTCTTCGTAGTCTCCATAATCATTTGAGCCAACTCCTTAAATAAAAAATTAAATGATAGATGGATGATAGATACAAAGGGACTTGCTAGACAGATACTCTTTCTCTGGAGAAGGTTAACACAGGGGATAATTTTAAACCATGCTGCAAATGACATGCAGTGTATGAACACATGCTCAGCATTGTTAGTATTTAGAAAAATTTAGATCAGAACCATGAGATACCCCTTGATACCTACCACCATGGTTATAATAAAGGGGAAAAATGAAATAACAAGCATGGTAGATGGTGGAGAAATTAATCCTTGTACATTGCTTGGGCAATGTTTACTTTCATGGAACCTGGTTTACTTTTGTGGAAACAATTTCAGTCTCTCAAAATGGTACACATTGAGTTAACATGACTCAGCAATTCTATCCCTACATACAGATCCAAAAGAATTGAGAACAGGAATGCAAAGCAACGCGTGTGCATGCATGTTCATAGCACCAGTGCTCACAACTGCCAAAGGTAGAAACAACCCAAATGTTCAACTACATAAAAGAACTGTGTATGTACACACGAGGACACTTCAAGAAGTCTGCAAAAATAAAACACAGTGATACGCATTTGGCGCAGCAGTGAAAATGCTGCTTGGGATGGTCTTATCCCATCTCAGAGTGCCTGGGTTTGAGTTCTGGCTGATTTCCTGATTCCTGTTGCCTGCTAACGTGTACCCTGGGAGGCACCAGTATGGCTCAAGTTATTGGGTCCCTGTCACCCACATGAGAGACCTGGACTAAGATCCCAGCCACGGCCATATTTGGCATTTGAGGAGTAAATCAGTGAATGAAAAATCCCTCTCTGTCTCTTCTCTCTGCCTCTCAAATAAAAGACAAATATAAAGTGTTTGGGGAAAAAAATGAAATAAAACAAAACGTTTACTTTCATTCAAAAAAATATTTTGAAATCCAGGCAGGCATTCTTTTCATAATATGCATCTGCCAAGAACATTTGGAAGACCCCTCCTACAACGGACCAAAGTACTGAAACCTGCACCAGCATGGACACTGGAGTATTACAGCGAAAGAAGCCAGACAACGCAAGGTTACACAGCCACGTGATTCCCTTCATAGTAAACACCCAGACCAAGGCAAACCCACGGAGCCAGAGGGCAGACTGGCAGTGTCAGAGAGAGGACAGGAACTATTCCTTGAAGGTCAGGGACTTACCCTTGGGGTATGAACATGTTTTGTCACTAGATAGCAGCAGTGCATGCACAATGCTGCAAATATACCTAAAGCCACTGTACTACTCACTTAAAAATGGTTAATTTTATGTCATGTGGACTTCATCTCTAGGAAAAAAAAACCTTGTAATTGTTCAAAACAAACTGCCTCTTAATTACCCTTCTTAAACACTGCATCTTAAAATTAATGCCACAGAAACCATAGCAATGCATCAGCCCCCTTAACCTCCATTACACAAACACACAGATGTATCTGGAGCATGTTAAAGTAGGAGCAGTCATACCAGTTGTCTGAAGCCAGTGAGAACAAGGAACCATGCTTGTAGAAGTCCAGTGGCATAGGCATTCAAAAAATACTTCCGGCCACTTTGATCCCGTTTGTACAAGCAAAGGAGAGGAACCATTGCTGACATCCACACTGAGTGTTCGTAAGGATAGCCTGAGGGTACACAGAGGCCTCAGGTTACTCACATTTTTCTCTTAAAGTGACCTTTATTATAAAATCTGGTCACCACGGTTCATTGTCGGTAGCTAGTTAAAGCAGTAACCCAGGAGGCAGCGTTGTACAGCAGGTTAAGTCTCACCTGCAATAAAGGCTCACCACATTGAAGTGCTTTTTCTAGACCACCTGCTCTGCTTCCCATCCAGATCCCTGCTGATGTGCCTGGGAAAGCAGTGGAGGACGGCCCAGGAGCTTGGGCCCCTGCACCCCCATGGGAGACCCAGAAGAAGCTCCTGGCTCCTGGCTATTGACTGGCCCATCCCCAGCTTCTATGGCCTTTTGGAGAATGAGCCAGCATCTCTCACCCCACCCCACTGTCACTCTGCTCACAGATAAATAAATAAATCATTTAAAATAAAACAATAACTCAATACATGTTTAGTACTAGTATCAGACAGTAAACAGTGTACCAAGTTTCCCAAAACTATAATATGACTGACCAGATAAAATATCAAAACTGTTTTTGAAAGCATGGAAATGATGGCTCCAATTTATTAGAATTAATTTTACATGGTCAGGCCTTTGTTGTGGTGTAGCAGGTTGGGCCACTGCCTTCAGTGCCTGCATCCAATATGGGCACCTGTTCGCGGTCCAGGCTGCTCTGCTTCCAAACCAGCTCCCTGCTAGAGCGCCTGGGAGGGTGGTGGAGGATGGCCCAAGTACTTGCGCCCCTGCACCACACGTGGGAGACCTGGGAAAGGCTCTGGGCTCCTGGCTTTGGCCTGGCCCAGCCCCAGCCCCAGCCATTTCGGCCACTTGGGGAGTAATCAGCAAATGGGAGATCTCTCTCTCTCTCTCTCTCTCTCTTTCTGTAACTTTGGCCTTTCAATAAGTAAAAGAATTTACACGGCCACTTTTACAACTTCAGAAACATATTACGAATATTTCTTAGATTAATTCTCCCTGAAGAAAATATTTCTGAATGTCCAAGCTTTATCTTGGCAACAATACACAGTGAGAGTGTTGTTCTTCCCCACACTCCACAATATCTGTTCTTATACTGCTTTCCAGGACACAATGACCAGATCGTGGCAAGTGACACAGTCCCAGTCATCAGGGCTCATTTCCTCTCAACTTGCTACCTGAATAAACTGTCCAGGGACAGTCAGGACTGGGAGTCTGACCATGCCACAGTGACCTCTTTGGCTCATGCTGAATCATTCATATCTCCATGCTGCACAACACACCACTCTATGCATTCAGACATAAAAATAAAAATAAAAAACAAGGAGAAACAAAACACATTGCCCTCGAATGACTGACAGCAGGATCTAACTCCAGTGTGCACTCTGGACGTAACACCCAGAGACGCTCCCGAGACTGCACTGCTGGCAGGTGACGTGGACGGCCAGGTCTCCTTGGCTCACACCTGGCGTAGCAGGGGCTTATGAGAGGCAGTGCATACAGCTGCTGTGGTCCGGATATGGCTTTGGATGTCGCAGGTCCCCAAAAGGCCCCCGTGGTAGAAGCCTGTTCCCTAAGGTGGTGGCATTAGGAGGAGGGGAAACCTTTAGGAGGTGGGGCTGAGTGGGAGGCCTTCAGGTGATGCGGGTTGTTCCAAACACCTGAGCTCGGGCCCAGGCTCTCTGCTTCCTGGCTCACCACATGATCTTTCCTGCACACACAACCCAGAGCCTCACAGGGTCTGCACCAGGTCCCCAGACTTGAACCTCCAAACCTGTGAGCTAAACAAACTTTTTTTCCTTACCAGAGTGAGTTGCCTCTGGTATTTCACTGTAGTATTGAAAAGCTGACTAATGCCATGGTGACTGAGAAACCTCCCTGTTTTCCTGGTATTTTTATTTTTAAAAGTATTTTCCCCACTCACTGGGGAAGCATCACTATTCAGACATGGACACTGACCTAGTGTTCTAATCAGATAAAGGCTATTTCTCATTGATGAATAAACAGAATGAAAGAATTGTCACAACAAAACGGACTTACATCATTTGTCATGTGAACACCAAACAAATCCTGATCCGTGATATTGGACAGGCAGAGCAAATGGGGAGACAGCAGATCTGCTCTCAGTCCCCGCGGCATCAGATGAGACCACAGCTCAGAGTCTTCACCGCTCTTTACCCGAAAAGTCTAGGAAGAAGCAAATGGAAAAACTGTTCTCCTATGAACATAAACCATTTGAAACTAACAAACTCATTTATACCATTATTCCCAGAAAATTTATTGGAGGTTTTTTTAAGCAAACACTCTGGGGATCATATTGCTGGATCACCACTGTGAAGACTTTCTTCTCCCTAACACCAAACTCATTCTAGCATCTGCTAGTGGCTCTACCACTCGGTGGTCCCGTGCGTGGGTGGCTCTACCACTCGGTGGTCTCCGTGCGTCCACCCACTGCGAACTTATGTGGACACTGTTTACTAAGGGGGATGCAGATGCTTCATCGAGCCCTATTGGATCCAAGGACCTGAGCTCAAAAACCGGGGTCACCTACCTGCCCTCTACAACAGCTTCATATTCAGATTCCTCTCAAGACGCAGGGGAGTGTTACAGCTGCAAAGTTTCGCATAATGGAGTTAAAGCTGGCTTCACCGCCTACTCTCCTGTGTTAACTCTACTGTGTATACACCCGCGGATGGCAAGGAAGTCCCACTTCCCTCACCAGGAGGCAAAAGTGGGGCGGGACACTTCCGGTCCCTGTGCAGCTCACCCATCTCACTGCAGGCCTGAACAGTGGGTCTGGTAGAGGGAGATACTCAACGTCCAATCAATCATTCTCTCTCTCTCTCCACCGTCCCCATGTCTTCCTTCCGTGCTTTCTAGTGTGCTGATTTCTTGGATCCCATGTGTCCTGCTCTCCCTCTGTGAATGATTCGCTCTCTTCTGTTTCCTCTCCATCTTTCTGCTCCTCCTTGCCCCATTTCTTCCTCTTTTTAAAAGCTTCTTTTTATTTTTATTTGAAAGGTGGAGAGACAGACATGAATCTTCCATCTACTGAGTCACACCCAAAGGCCTGTAACAGTTGGCACGGGGCCAAAGCCAGGAGCCTGGAGCTGCATCAGGTCTCCCTTGTGGGTGGTGGGGACCCAAGTGCTTGAGCCATCATCTGTTGCCGGTCCCAGCTTGTGCATTAGCAGGAACGCTGGATGGGAAGTGGAGTAGCTGGGACTTGAACCAGGCACCTCAGATGTGGGATCAGGTGTCCCCAACAGTGACTTTACGGCTGCACCGAAAGCCCACCCCATCCTCTGTTCCTCTTTCCCTCACAGCTTTCTCTGTACTTTGCGTTCCTGTCTCTCTCCTTCTGTCGTTCTATCCATGCATTATCTATTTACATCTCCATTTCCATCTGTCTGACAATCTTCCTGTGTTTGTTTCTCATCTCTCTCTCTCTCTCTCTCCGAATGTCTCTACATCGCTTTTGTCTCTTTTTCTTTACTTTTTAACACACACTTCTCTGTGTCTTCCCCCATCAGTCTGTGCCTTTCTTTGATCTTTCTGTATTTTCAGGTCCATGTGACCACTAGGGAGATAGATTCTACTGTCTTCTCTGTTCATCTAAAAGAGACAGGCACTGTAGTTCTACCTGGGGGACGGGCAAGTGTTCTACTCAGGGCTTTGCTTTATTTCACTGAACGTGAAACCATGTTCTCTTACTCAGTCTCATCCCTAGGACTCCCACATTAATTGCTCATTTGATTCCAACTTTAGGAGGGGACTATGATACCAAGGTTTAATGCCTGACCCTTAAGCCTCCACAATTAAATGTATAACTTGGATTTATTTTTCCTATAAAGAATAATCCTTTGACATTTAACCTTTATGATCATCTTGACGGAGGCAGGGAGGTAGCAAGAGCAGAGAGGAATTGCTGGCCCCAGCCCTTGTGACGATCTGGCCCACACTTACCAAACTGCCTGCCCCCACACCACTCAAATCCCCTTTCATGCACAGCCCCCCACCCCTTCTGTGTAGCGGAGGACTGCAGGTTCTGCAGTGCTGCAACTTAGAACCAGTGCCAGCTAGAAATACTCAATATGGCTGCAGGCTGTGCCCCCATGATGATCTTCAGCTCAACACAGGGTCACTAATATTACCATGGTGACACGCCTGTTCCCATCACACACCTGAGAGCATGACACTTCTGATTGCAAAGGGCAAGGAAGCAGGTGGCACTCCAAACTCCAAACTCCACAAATTTGAATGTCTGATTAAGGCCCACAGCCCTATGCCTCCAAATGGTATAAAAAGACAGCCCCCAAGCCATGTTGATTGCAACTCTCTCTCCTGGCTTGGCCTGCACTCCTTCCTGTATACTTTCACTTCTCACGTAAATAAATCTGCTTGTCTGTTAGCCTCTACCTACGTCCTCTTCCTGAATTCCTTCCTGTGATGGGGCAAGAAGCTGGACCAAGCCAATCCCATAGCCACACACAGCAACATGAGGGGGGGTTGCACAATCTGACTGTATCAAATGCCTGGCTTGTACATCTTAAAGAAGTTAATGTATGCCACATGAATTTCACCTCAACAACAACAGCAAAAACATGCTGCCTGTTACTTGTCATTCTTTTGTTCACATGGCTCTTCTTGGAAGTTCTATTAGTTTCCTAATGCTGATGTAAGAAACGGACACCACCTTTGTGGTGTAACGTAAGCCAAATCTGTCAGAAGGCAGAAATTGGTGTCATTGGGCTAAAGCAAGTCATAAGCAGGGGCTCTCTGCTTGTTCTTTTTGGGCGTCCTGGGAGGGCTCCTAGAAGCTGCCTCTCTGGTTCCTCCCACCTTCAGAGCCAGCTGGTCGGTTAACTCTTCCCATGCCATGTCCTCTCACTCTGATGCTCCTGCCTCCCTCTTCAACTTGATCAGGTCCACCCAGTCTGCGTGTCTCCCCAAGCCAAGAGCAACAGATCAGAAGATGTGATTCGATCTGCAGGCTTCATCCTCCCTTTGCCACAAACACTTCAGGCTCCTCAGATGAGGATCCGGACATCCATGGAGGCAGGGGAGGGACTCACCCTACCAACCCCAGAAGTCACCCCAGAGGAAAAGGAGATCACCGCCCCACCACACCCCTCCAATTCTGGATGACAACCATGGCTCGGAGACACTGGGTTCTTTCCCATGAAACTGACCCATGACTGGTGAACTTCTCACTCCCTGGCTGAAAAGGCCAACATTTTGCCTTGTCCCTCACACGCCCTTCCATACTCCAATATAATCATGGATCCTGAAACAGGAAGAAGTCAAAGCAGCCCACCAGAACCACGGTTTTCTCCTTGTTTCTACGGGAAGTGGATGAAAACAGAATCCTGCCACATTCCCACATCTTCTTAGCTCTCTCTGTCTCCCTGCTAAGGACACTGAGTGCATGACCTGCTTCCAGAACCTTTATTTGTCATAGATTCATTATTTTTCTTTATATTTTGTCATTTTTCTTTCTCGTGCAGTTTTGTCCCTTCCTGAATCAGATGGGCGATGCCTTATCTCCCTCACCGCCCACTTTGTACTGAGGGAGTCACAATGCACTGATGGTCCTAAAGAATATGCCAGCATGCCTCTTCTCATAGTTTCAAAGCTATTCACATTGAAAAGTTGAACTAAGTGGAGAGTGTCAATATCCACTAAAGGACAAATAATATCAATAGGTAAAGAAATATTCTATAATAAATTCAGACTAGGCAAGGGGGTGCTTCTTCATGATTGTGCCAGAAGAAAATAGAACTATTTTAAGCATTTAGTGTCAAATGAAATCTACAGTGACTTACCTAATTCCAGACAATAAAAGATTTTTATCAGGGTAAAATTTCCACAGCATAAACTGAAGGACTTTTAGGGGGTTTGGGTTTTTTTTGTATATTCTCTTGCAATAGTTACGTCTTTATCTTCCAAACTTCCGTTTTATCTCAGCATAGTTAGATATGTTTTACTTTATGGGCCTTCTGTCCTCTTACCTATTTCTGAAAGAGGGAGTCGGTATTCCTGGCTCCCATCAGCCAGCTTAGAAACGGTCAGGAGGAAGGAACCAAAGCTCTTCCGAATCCTGGCATTGTACTCCTTCACTGCAGCAGCGAAGTCCTCTGGAAGATGGCGGAGGAACACCTGTGAACAAGGAGTCAGATGGGCCTGACTGCTCAAACCAGGAGCAGAGCATGGCCAAGGTCTGGGAGACACGGGGCCAAAATCTTCTTAGGGACAGCAATTAAGCTGCTGCCTGCGATATCCTCATCCCATATCAGCTGCCTGCCAGTGCATCCTGGGAGGCAGCCGATGATGGCACAAGTACTTGGACCTCTGCCAGCTATGCGAGAGACTGGGATTGAGGCTCTTGGTCCAGCCCCTATTGCTATGGGCATTTGGAGAATGAACCAGCAAATGGAAGAATTTTCATTCGCGTGTGCACTCGCTCTCTTTCCCCCCCTCCACTTGCTCCTCTGCTTTGCAAGTAGATGAAATAAATGCATATTTAAAATGTATATTTTAAAAATATAGATGGAAATGTACTTCTAAATATAAACTCTTTTACTCATGGACACACAAATACATAAACTGAAGTAAAAACTAATGTGTAATCCTACCATTCAGGGATATAGGTTATAAAGATTTTGGTGATTAGAATCACCTTCTAACTAGGGTGCAGTATGCAGCTTCACAACAGAATGTTCATACTCAGCATTGTATTTGGTGCATTTTCCCACGTCACAGACTTCATTTAAAATGATGAATTTTAGCGGTCAGCATTGCAAGCAGATAAAGCCACCACCTGCAATGCTGGCATCCCATGTGGGCACCAGCTCATGTCCCAGCTGCTCCACTTCCAATCCAGGCCCCTGTTAATGTGCCAGGGAAGGCAGTGGAAGATGTCTCTTGGACCCCTGTACCCACCTGCAAGATCTGGATAGAGTTCCAGGCTCCTGGCTTTTGCCTGGGGCAGCCCTAGCTGCTGCAGCTATTTGGGAAGCCAAGCAGCAAATGTTGGTTGGTTTGTGTGTGTGTGTGTGTGTGTGTGTGTGTGTGTGTAACTCTGCCTTTCAAATAAGTAAATAATTTTTTTTAAAGGAGGGGGTGAGCCAGCGCCGTGGCTCACTAGGCTAATCCTCCATCTGCGGCGCCAGCACACGGGGTTCTAGAACCGGTTGGGGCACCAGATTCTGTCCCGGTTGCTCCTCTTCCAGTCCAGCTCTCTGCTGTGGCCCGGGAGGGCAGTGGAAGATGGCCCAAGTGCTTGGGCCCTGCACCCGCATGGGAGACCAGGAGGAAGCACCTGGCTCCTGGCTTCAGATCATTCAGATCAGCGCAGCACGCCGGCCGTAGCAGCCATTTGGGGAGTGAACAAACGGAAAAAGGAAGACCTTTCTCTCTCTCTCTGTCTAGCTCTGCCTGTCAAAAAAAAAAAAAAAATAATGAGGGGGTGAGTCCAGTGCTGTGGCATAGCAGGTGAAGCTGCCACCTGCAGCGCTGACAGCCCACATGAGTACTGGTTCCAGTCCCAGCTCCTGACTTCAGAATGGCCAAGCTCCAGCTGTTGCGGCCATTTGGGGAGGGAACCAATGGATGAAGATCTCTCTGCCTCGCTGTAACTCTGCTTTTCAAATAAATAAATCTTTAAAGGGGGGGGCAGAAGTCTGCACACAGGTACACACACACCATGTGTACACAAAGGCAGAGACCCAAAGGCTGCTTCTACAAGTCAAGGAGCACCAAAAATCAACAGCAACACCAGAAGCTAGAAGAGAGGTCTGGACCAGAGTCTCCCTCGAGGCCCTCAGCAAGGACACCTCTGCCATGCTTCTGCATCTCCAGGGCTGCGAGACAATGCATTTCTTTTTCTTTTTCTTTTTCTTTCTTTTTTTTTTTTTTTTTTTGTGACAGGCAGAGTTCGACAGTGAAAGAGAGACAGAGAGAAACCAAATGGCTGCTATGACCAGCACACTGCGCCTATCCGAAGCCAGGAGCCAGGTGCTTCTCCTGGTCTCCCATGCGGGTGCAGGGCTCAAGCACCTGGGCCATCCTCCACTGCACTCCCAGGCCACAGCAGAGAGCTGGACTGGAAGAGGAGCAACCGGGACAGAATCTGGCGCCCCAACTGGGACTAGAACCTGGGGTGCCAGTGCCGCAGATGGAGGATTAGCCTAGTGAGCCACGGTGCCAGCTGAGACAATTCATTTCTGCCATGTAAGCTACCTGGTTTGTACCACTTCATTAGAGCAGCTTTAAGAAACTAATCCTTGGTCATCACGCATTTCTACTGAGAACTTCAAATACTAAAGAAAAAAAAAATTTAGGAGAACATATAAGACTTGTTCGTTTCTCTGGGGTACAGTATACTGTTTCATCACATGTAAGCAGATCAATGAGGTAATTAGCCTTTCCATTTCCTTACCTTTAAAAAAAAAAAGATTTCTTTATTTGGAAGTCAGAATACAGAGGGAGAGAGATTCTCTCCATCCACTGGTTCACTCCCTAAATGGCTGCAATGGCCAAGGCTGAGCCAGGTGAAAGCCAGGAGCCAGGAGCTTCATTAGGTCTTCCATGTGGGTTGCAGGGCCTAAAGCACTTGGGCAATCTTCCACTGTTTTCCCAACACCTTTAGCAGGGAGCTAGATTGGTAGTGGAGCAGCTGGGACACAAACTAGTGCACACATGGGACGTCAGCATTGCCGGCGGAGCGTTTACCCACTATGCCACAGCAGCGACCCCTCCTTACCTTTTCTTTATATTTGCAGCCTGCCAGCTCCTCTCTCCCAATGCTGCAGAACTCTGGGCACAGGACAGCTCCATCCGAATCCCACACTAAGAGACATGACCAGACTCTAACAAGGCTTCTAGCAGCCTGAGGTTGGGTTTCTAGGTAATTCTAGCCCTGCAACCCTCACTTAAAGTGATAGTGGCCAGCAGAAATTTCCTATTTGTTCTAGTCAATGCACAGCTGGTAAGAGGTACCCAACCTCCCTTTTCTGGAACATTTACTAGAAAGTGCATACAATTTTAACTATGAGAAACTTCAAGAATTCAGGGAAAATGCAATTAAAAGATAAGCTTATTGTGGTGCAAAACAGTCTTGAAATGTATGTAAAGTTTTCCTTTTTAATAATCACTTTCTCTTGCAATTGTTATGTTTTAAATTTTTATTTATTTATTTGAGAGACAGAGAAATGGAGAGACAGAGAGCTCCCATCTGCTGGTTTGTGTCCCAAATGCCAATAACCATCAGGGCTGGGAAGCAGGAAGGTGATCCAGGCCTCCCACATAGGTGGCAGGGACCAAAGTACTCGAGTATCACCTACCGTCTCCCAAAGTGCATATTAACAGAGAGCTGGAGCTGTCACCAGGCACTGACCCAGATATTCCAACATGAAACATGGGCGTCTTAACTGGCAGCCTGAACCACTCAGTCAAATGCCCGCCTTAAAGCATGTTGTTAAAGGATCTATGAGATCAGTGTAACTGTTCATTGAGATCTTTGCCACATTTTCAGATGAGCCAAGCATTTTATTACTTTCTACCTTTAATTACAGCTGAGATTTTACATTTTGTTTTCTTTGTAACTTTAGTATAGGGAAAGTTATACATTTCAATAGATTATTTTGGCAAATTATAAACATTTTTCTGTTGATTTTCTTGGCTTTTTACATAGCCAGAGATTTTATCTGTAAATAACAATTACAAGAAGCCCCAGGGTCTGCGCGACAGTGCTCCAAGGAGAGTGCACGCCACACAGAAAACAGCGGGGAGACTTGAGACGCTCAGGGCTCCGAGTCCACACATCGGCGCTGGAAGGGGAGGTGAAGCTCAATAACCCGAGACATTGGTGGGGAAACGGGGGTCAGAATCTAGAGGGGGGCCGGAAAGTGCAGCAAACTCACTACCGGAAAGAAGGAAAAAAAAAAGCTTCGGGTTTCTCTTCCCCCTAACCTTGCAAAGGTTACAAGGCTGCAAGACTTGAAGAATTCCCAAGAGACAAAGAGCAGGCCTCCTCTTTGGATTTACATATCAGTGGGGGAGAGTTAAGGAACTGAGTCACTACAATTCAGTAGCCTAGGCAACCCAGTGGGAGTCCAGAGGAGCCAAAGACTGGAAGCTAAATACCATCAATTCTGCACAGCCCTGCCCTGCAGTGTTACTTACCCCCTGAATAAATAAAATAAATAAATAAATAAAAAGAGAGATTTACCACGCATAACCTGAGGGTGTCACCTTTGCACACCCTTAACCAGGAAGAACCAGGCAGAGCTCTCAGGCCGCACCCATCTCAAGCCTCCAAGGCTCCTCCAACAGCAGGCAGTCCACTTAACAAGGACACAGTATAAAAAAAAAAAAAAAAGCGCACAGTGACGCAAGAAGAATTAACTATGCCGAGTAACAAACACAGAAATAGAGGGAGCAAGATCAACGATGACACTATGATGCCTCCAAATAAGCAAAACACCCCAAGTCAAGAGTATGAAGATGATGAGATAGAAGAAATGCAAGATACGGATTTCAAAAAATTTATGATAAGAACATTTAGAAGTTTTCAAAAGCAAATCCTTGAACTACAGAAATCCTTAATGGACAAGATTGAAAATCTTTCTCGTGAAAATGAAATTTTAAGGAAGAGTCAAAATGAAACTCAGAAATTAGTAGAACAGGAAAGTGTAATAGTCAAGAGAAATCAAAATGAAATGAAGAGCTCAATAGATCAAATGACAAACACATTAGAAAGCCTTAAAAACAGAATGGGTGAAGCAGAAGAGAGAATATCGGACTTAGAAGATAGAGCACAGGAAAACATACAGTCAAACCAAAGAAAAGAAGAGGAAATTAGAAACCTGAAAAATATTGTTGGGAATCTACAGGATACTATTAAAAAACCAACATTCGAGTTCTAGGAGTTCCTGAAGGCATGGAGAGAGAGAAAGGATTGGAAGGCCTTTTTAGTGAGATACTTGCAGAGAACTTTCCAGGTTTGGAGAAGGACAGAGATATCCTAGTACAGGAAGCTCATAGAACCCCCAATAAACATGACCAAAAGAGATCCTCACCACGACACGTGGTAATTAAACTTACCACAGTGAAACATAAAGAAAAGATCCTAAAATGTGCAAGAGAGAAACGTCAGA